AAGCAATAGATTGTGCTGTTGTATATGTTCTGTTTAAACATATTAGAAAGGAATAAACTGATGATTTTGATTATTGAAAAAAACACATATGAGAATGAAAAGTTTATCAGTTCTGTATTATATTAAAATAAAAAAAGTGATGATTTTTAAAAGTTTTAAGAAATGGCTAATAAGTTGGGATATAGAACAATAGCAGAAGTCAAAAAATTTTGTTGCTTCTTGTCAATTGTATAGCACACACACATTTAGATTGTTTAAAAATATTCATGTAGAATTTCTCTCCCAACACCATATAAGATTGGTACAGTCAATGGAACTGAGAATCACAAAAAATTTAAAAGCTTTGCAGGCCTATCATAGAAAACTGACAAGTCTGCATGTGGGTTCAAGTCCTGTTCTGGGCCAATCTTTTCTTCCAGAACATTCTAAAATTAAATTAAATTTAATAATTATAAATAAGCGTTACCTCCTGCCAAATTACTTGTGATTATTTAGCCCAATAGCACAATTAATGTTTGATACATATATTAAATTAAAAGTACAGTAGCGCGTCGATTATCCAAAAGAATTCCAGTCTGCAAATTTAAATTTTCGCCAGTGCTGTGGCGCTGCATTCTTTGGCTACGTCTTGGGCTACTCAAATATTTTACGTTTTTGATACTAAATTAACTTCTGAAGTATAATTTTTTATTATATATCAGAATAGGTCCCCTGTAGAAAAATTTTTTGGGTTCTTCATTTTCAGAATCTCTATTTTCCAGTTCCACACAAATTCCATGTTCCGCCAGTTCTTGAAGGTCATTGTTGGTAAGGTTCTCACCAGAAACCTGCGATAACTCTTCAATATCCTGCTCATCTACATCACTTAGTCCTGCTGTATTGATTAGCAATAGGCTCTTCTCATTGAGAATTCTTGGATACATTCAGCCATAACTTCTTCCACACTTCGTTCGTGCATTTATCAGTTAATTGTTTCCAAGCGAAGTCGATATTTCCTATGGCATCCATGATGTTATATTTTTTCCAAAATTGCACCAAACAAACATAGATTTAAAGAAAGTACACCTTTTTGCCACCTTTTGCTGATTGGTTTGTGTTTGCAAATAATCTTATTTTATACGAATCAATGAAATGCCGCGATAATTTAAATCAGCGTAAATTTTGAGCTTTTTTTAGGCTTTGAGCAGACCGTGTTATATCAAATCAGCGTTAAGTGGGCTCTTACTGTATCATTTGTTCCAGAATTTAAATATTTTGTTACTCAATAAATAGTAGTGTTTTTTGTTTTATATTTTTTAACACTTTAATGTAAATGTCACATAATTTGAGCAGCTACTTAATTGGACCAAAATATGCTAGTCCCAATGTGTCCTGATTAACTAAAAAAATCTAAAAAACTGTAAACCTAGTAATTTTAGAAAGAAAAAAATTTTGAAGATGAATAGAATACTTAGTATCTTCAAAAAATTTAAAGCTTTTAAAATTAGATCATAAATATAGATATCATTACAACAGAAACTTAAATACTAAATATTAATAATTTTGAAAAAACTTTGGCAAAACTATTAATATTTTGTATTTTAATAACTGCACTGTCATATAACATTTATATGTATACCATCCCAGAATATGCAAGCTATGGCCAATCCAGCGTGACTTTAATGGTTAACATCGTAAATGATAACTAAGTACTACATTAAACTGGATATAATTAAGTTCAACGCACGTAACTTAACTGAACTGAATCAAAAATAATCTGTTGTCATTACTGATGTTAGTGTTTTTTCAGCCAATGACATTATATACAACAGTTTAAGATAGCCATTCCCAACTAGAAGTACACATACCCCTGAGACATATGCTTGTGGTTTAAGGATAAATGAAAAAATTAATAATGATGAACGTACTATAAGAATATTTGGATTTTGTGTTGAGGCCTTTGGTAATGTCATGGTACTCTATGCTTAGTTTAATAATAATAATAATTATTATATTTTTATTATATTTATGTCTTTCCTCCAATGCAATTTTTTTAAGATTGAAAAATCTTAAAAAAATTTTATTACATGTAGAACACTGTATAATTGGCAAAGGTGCCACTATTTCACAAACACACAAAATAAAAGTTAGTGGAAATGGAAAATAATACTTAGGAAAATGGGCTGCCGAGGGGTAGACAAGCGAAAGAAAGTTGGGAACTGCTGGTTTAAACCATTCAACTGTTTCAGAACAAATTTAGCAAAAAATTAAATGGTGATGTTTTGCTATTCCTACTCATTTTCATATCAGAACTAATAAACAAGGGAAATTTCAAAAATCTTAGTTCTTTTTACCAAATAATTAGTTGATATTAATTTTTTTTAATTAGTCATATATGCACAACAGGTAAATAAATTGCAGAGAAAAAACTTTGAATTTAATACAAAAATATTTATTGATTGTTTCAATATGCATTATATACATTATTTTGTTTAAACAAAGATTAAACAAAGATTTTGTTTGGTGCAAACAAAATCTTTGTTTTAACTGCATACATACAAATTAAATTTCAGCAGATTTCTAATAAGTTCATAAATCATAAATCACCTATATCAAAACACCAAAGTGCCAATGAAGCAAAAATTCTTAATGAGTATATACATTAAATCCTTACAAAAATGAAATTTATGATCTACTTTTCGCTTCAATAATAATAAGTTCCTTTAAAAATTAAGAAATTTCATAATAGCTTTTTTTTTTTTTTGTTTTGCCATATTAAATTATCCATTTGTCATTATAACAACTTTATTATATTTACAATCTAACTTTATCTTATCTTTGGAAATTAAAAAAATTTCTAAAATGTGTTATCTAAAAACAAAAAAATAAAAATATAATCAATTACTAATTTCTATCGAGTATGGCATCAGAATTGCTAAAATCATACAGATATAAATAGATTATATTGTATAGACTGTATAATATAATGTATAATATAATCTTTTAGCAGGAAATAGTATTTATAAGATTAAATAAGTTTATTTTCTTATTAAGTTATCACTTACTTAATATAATATTAAATCAGAGTAAATATTGATTTAATTATTATTGCACATGTACAAAATGTAAAAAAGTCACAACAATGGCAAATTATTAAGAGAATGTTTAAAAAATTTGAACTTTTAACATTAAAAAAACAAAACAGCATATAAATTTCCCTCTTTAACTTTTTAATCTTATAAATATAAGACAACTATGTTTACTTACATTAAGAAATTTTAAATAATATATTTAAAAAGAAAATATTTCTATAATTGTATCCTAAAATGTATATCAGTACTTGTTTATAACCCACAACTAATAGTTTTTTTATAATTGTTAATTGAAATAAAATTATCAGTTTACTAAATTAATTTGAAAAATCTGAATTAAAATAAAAAAAAAAAAAAAATATGAGTCTAACTCAATAGCCATATTCAACATGACTAAATACTTACTTAAATACTTAATTTTATCTAAAACTATCAAGCATTGAAATAAAAAAAAAAATACAACACTAAGAAACATGTATATAAATGATATGATAGGGAAAAATCAAAATTTATACATCCTGTTCTTAAAAGAATTCATTTACATAACATTTATACAACTGGAAATCACTAAGCAGAATTAAAATCATGATTATTTATAACTATTATTACTCTTTACAAACTCACTCAATCAAAGTTACAAACAAAATAATATTAGAAATAAGACATTCAAGAATTAATTTGATTTAAAACTAAAATATTTAATATAGTGCTATATAAACAATAAAAATTAGTGAAATATAATAAAATTTATAATCTTTATTAATAAAAATTTAGAAAGAAAAACAAATTTTAAACAAAATTAGTATTCATGTACTAAGACAGGTTAAATTATTAATTTACTCATATAGAGCATTATAAATGAATTTTCCTAACAGAATTATTTATTTTTTTTAGAAATTATAAAACAAATTACTAATTAACATATTTTTATACTAATTAACATTTTAGTAAATATACAAAATATAGAAAACTTTTAAAGTTTATTTTTCAAAATACATTGCTGTAGAATTCTTATATGTATATACACTAAACCCTTAACAGATTAATTGGAGGAAAGGGGTATGCACTATTGCTGAAAAAGTTTGTTACATCGAATGTATTTTAATAACATGTATTAATAACAAAATGTGCAAGATATGTTAAAATGTTATTATGATGTAAAGTATGAATAAAATACTAATATAATAATAATGTACAGTATATTGAGTAATTTATACTCGTTAACTCATTGTTCCGATCTTTTAACTAGCTCTATTTGTGGAAAAAGGGTCTAAATTTTTCATATATGACAGAAATTTTTTGTCTGTTAAATGTGAAATTCGTTAAATCAAGTTTACTTTATTCTATTTCATGACAATTTTAAAATCTAATACTTATGGACTTAATAAAAATCATTTCAAATTTGATCAATCTGTAATTGTAATTTGAAAAAACAAAATCAATTTAATTACTTTCATTAATAGTAAATAATAATCTTAAAAAGTCAAACATGTTAACAAATTATATTTCTGTTGCAATTCTGTTCATATTAAATATACAGAAACTATGTGAAACTAAACTTATTCAAAACTATTTTTAAAAAGTGAATAATCTTTCTAAATTTTTATAATTTAAAAAGAAATAAGAAATTCATATTTTCAGCAAAATAAATTATTGATTTATATTATTTGTTTTAAAGTTCCAATAGACCTAATTTATAGAGAAAATCAAACTAATTTAAGGTATAAAACTGATCTGAAAATAATTTTTATATTATTATTAAATTATTACTATTATAATCCATTAAAAAAATTTAAAGAAACACAAACTAGCAAGTTATAGATTAAGCTATTAATACTACTACAACTACACAGGACAACAGGTATATTAAAATATGAAACTATTTTTATATTGATTAGATTTGCTTAATAAGAGTAATTAAAAACTTACTGGACTCTGTTGAGATTGTTGACTAGATTCTACTATACTAGTTGCACCCTGTGTTGACTGTGGTTGAGAAGCAGGTGAGTTCTGTTGTATCCTGCCTGGGTTGAGGGCCTGCATGTCTGGCATGAAGCTCTGAGTTGCCATGGCAACAAGGCCCAAACTCTGCACTGGTGAACATAGCAACCAAGTAAGGATGTGTGATATGCTTGTTATCAGTAAATGCTAGGTCAAAAGTACAATGAAAGTCAAAGAGCTAATGGGTGAGCCCCTAAATATCAGGTACTTGCAGTTATAAAATAAAAATAAATAAAGAAATGTTTAATAGAAAAAAAGAGCAACAAAATGATACGTGCTTCATTCTATGGTCTGTTTCCATAGAAACACTAACTTCACTAAACAACGAAATGTTTTCATTAGATGAATTAAAATTATTTAAATTAAAATATATTTAATACAAATAAATGTTTTCTTGTTATCCAAATAATGTATTCTCATATTTTGTTTATTTTATTAATTATAAAATCATTTTTTAGTTTTTATATTATTCCAAAAGATTCATTCTTCAAATTGCTACTAATAAATTATTTTTCTCATATATTTTCTCTATTATTTTCTCATAAAAAATCCATTTTATTATTTACCTATTAGGTAAATAATAAAATGGATTTTTTATGCATAAATATATAAAAGACATTTAAAATTATAACATTTATACTATAATAATTATAATATTTATGCATCTCCTTATTCAAAAATTATATTTATTTATTTNTCTCCAGCGGGGTTGGCACACCTGGATTTTATTTTGAATCTCCATTTGGCCCTATCATGGGCCTGGTCTGGGTGTAGGACCACAGCTTGCAGGTCATGGTATAGCATGTCCAGCCAATGCTGGCTTGGGCAACCCTCGTGCAGGACCCAGGTACCTCCAAATTTAGGCCCATGTGGATGATGGAGTCAGCATCAGCACAGAGCACATAGCCATAGAGGCATAGGTGCCACTTGCGCACTTTCTCGCTGATATCAGCAATGCCATACCAGACTCTGATGTCAATGTTGGGTACTCGATTAAGTATAAGTATAAAAACATCACATACAATTATTAAAGTTCCAAAATGACAGATAGCAGAAACAACGGGCTAAATTATGAGTGCAAGGCTTATAGATTATCAACAATCTCCAATCATACTCGACAAACAGGTGTCAAATAGACGCCTTGGAACGGACCTTTCTCGTAACCTGATCTGGTTACAAGAAAGAATATAAGCATTGAAATAGATAAATACCAACGGAATTACCAAACATTATAATTTAAAAATTGCCAAAAAAAATTTTCCATTTTCTACTTGGAACACCCTGCACGTTCTATTTCTTCAAATTTGTTCTTTTACGCCTGAGGACGACAAAAGTACTTGTGAGATAAGAAAATTGTGTTAACACTGAACTCAGTGCTTGTTATCAAGAAGCTATATAAGCATTAAAGAAGCTCTCAATCAATAGTACTATGTCATAATTGAATGAGTATTAATGTGAATGTCATAACTGAATGTGCATACTAGTGTTCTAACTAAGAGGAGTTAACTATAAAGCTGATTTCAAAGGAACAAATGAGAGATTATCTCAATAGAAGTTTAGGCATGACAATAAATTCAAGAAAGCCACATAACAAGAAGTACTATGATAATGGTGTTAGCACTAACGAATGGATATCCACAAAATGTGCAATTTGTATCATAAATTTTGTGCAGATGGGACCTACAATACCAATGAAACAGGTGTGGCTTTGTTAAGCCATGTTTCTTCTGTCTTTCCTTTCTCTTCATTACTTGTGACCACGTCTTATGGAAAAACCCCACTTCCGGCCTTTGTTTACTTAACTACGATGTGGTTGGTTAAACCATGTGTCCGATCTGTGTTAGACAATAGGGGCTGACGCTTGATTGGTCGAAGGGGGTGACGGACAAAGTGGACAAAAAAGGAGGTCCGAACAGGAAGAGAATCAGTTCAGGACGAGACCGTGTGGAGCGAGGACACGTTAGGACAAGCTAGGAAGGAAGGAAGTCGTCACGTGGAGGATCTGAGGTTTTTTCTCTTTTGACCAGTCACCCCTTTATTCTCCATTATTTATGATTTTTCGTTTTTCCATCTTTCTCTAAATTTTTGGGCCCTAGGTTTAAAGTAATTAGTTAAGTTAGATTTAAACTAGACTAAGATTCTATTGTCGGCTGAACGTGGGATCCACGTGCTGTGTCGGGACGAGAGTTCAGACCTAATATTGTACAACCTAGTTTTAAGTATCGGTATTTGCCTATTTGGAGTCTGGAATTTTTGTTAATAAATTATATAAAAGCCGAATTATCNCAGATACATCATTTCCAAAACTGAAAGACAATGCTCGATTTTGTGCAAGCATGTTTGGCAGTACCTATGTATGCGAACAGGCATACATAGGTACTGCCAAACAAGCTTGCAAGTTTTCGCTTATGAATTTAAACAAGTGCAAAACACGGAACAGGTTAATCAACGAGAATTTGGAAAATCTGCTGGTTGTTTCAACATCTGTCATTACACCAGACATCAAGAAGATTGCTGCCAGCATCCAATCTCAGCCATTGCATTAATCTCTTGGAGGTCCGGCCCCCAGTCAGTAAACTTAATCCTAATTTGGCCCTTCTTCACAAAAGGTTGTGCATCCCTGATTTTGTTTTTAATTTTTTTTTTGTTTGTTGATTAACTTTTAAGCAATTTTTAAATTCCTTATTAATTTACATTCCCTATACTTAAAACAAATATATTTTGTTTGAATTAAAAAAAAAATTTTTTTTGAGCAATTTGGAATTGCAAATGTTGTGAAAGATGCTAGATGTGGGGCAAGAATGAACTGACATGCTAAAATCTCTTCACCCATCTATCCATCCACCCTGAAATAATTTATGCCTATCTATACTGACCATTATTGGAAGTGTTTCTTTAAATACAAATTGAATATTCCTCAAAACTTGCACATTTTCTTTTTCTGTTATATGTCTTACTGAAAAAAATCAATCACTAAATTTTATAAATCAGTTTGTTTGATGATAAAATGTACAGATAATACCTAATTAAAACAATTTTTCACTCCCTCCCCCATCTTCCCAGAATAAAAATTCTACTGAAAATGTTCATCTTTCTAAAATTAAAACATTTTCTATCTCCTTTAATTATTTAATGTTGAGGTATGCATTTGGTATTTACTGTAAANTTGTTTTTCCATCTTTCTCTAAATTTTTGGGCCCTAGGTTTAAAGTAATTAGTTAAGTTAGATTTAAACTAGACTAAGATTCTATTGTCGGCTGAACGTGGGATCCACGTGCTGTGTCGGGACGAGAGTTCAGACCTAATATTGTACAACCTAGTTTTAAGTATCGGTATTTGCCTATTTGGAGTCTGGAATTTTTGTTAATAAATTATATAAAAGCCGAATTATCCTTTGGGAGTCAATTATTTATCGTTCGGCTACACAGGCCTATTTTATCATACCATACCTGAGCTACTAATATGCAATACTGTTGGATTTAAAAGAAGCAATAGATTGTGCTGTTGTATATGTTCTGTTTAAACATATTAGAAAGGAATAAACTGATGATTTTGATTATTGAAAAAAACACATATGAGAATGAAAAGTTTATCAGTTCTGTATTATATTAAAATAAAAAAAGTGATGATTTTTAAAAGTTTTAAGAAATGGCTAATAAGTTGGGATATAGAACAATAGCAGAAGTCAAAAAATTTTGTTGCTTCTTGTCAATTGTATAGCACACACACATTTAGATTGTTTAAAAATATTCATGTAGAATTTCTCTCCCAACACCATATAAGATTGGTACAGTCAATGGAACTGAGAATCACAAAAAATTTAAAAGCTTTGCAGGCCTATCATAGAAAACTGACAAGTCTGCATGTGGGTTCAAGTCCTGTTCTGGGCCAATCTTTTCTTCCAGAACATTCTAAAATTAAATTAAATTTAATAATTATAAATAAGCGTTACCTCCTGCCAAATTACTTGTGATTATTTAGCCCAATAGCACAATTAATGTTTGATACATATATTAAATTAAAAGTACAGTAGCGCGTCGATTATCCAAAAGAATTCCAGTCTGCAAATTTAAATTTTCGCCAGTGCTGTGGCGCTGCATTCTTTGGCTACGTCTTGGGCTACTCAAATATTTTACGTTTTTGATACTAAATTAACTTCTGAAGTATAATTTTTTATTATATATCAGAATAGGTCCCCTGTAGAAAAATTTTTTGGGTTCTTCATTTTCAGAATCTCTATTTTCCAGTTCCACACAAATTCCATGTTCCGCCAGTTCTTGAAGGTCATTGTTGGTAAGGTTCTCACCAGAAACCTGCGATAACTCTTCAATATCCTGCTCATCTACATCACTTAGTCCTGCTGTATTGATTAGCAATAGGCTCTTCTCATTGAGAATTCTTGGATACATTCAGCCATAACTTCTTCCACACTTCGTTCGTGCATTTATCAGTTAATTGTTTCCAAGCGAAGTCGATATTTCCTATGGCATCCATGATGTTATATTTTTTCCAAAATTGCACCAAACAAACATAGATTTAAAGAAAGTACACCTTTTTGCCACCTTTTGCTGATTGGTTTGTGTTTGCAAATAATCTTATTTTATACGAATCAATGAAATGCCGCGATAATTTAAATCAGCGTAAATTTTGAGCTTTTTTTAGGCTTTGAGCAGACCGTGTTATATCAAATCAGCGTTAAGTGGGCTCTTACTGTATCATTTGTTCCAGAATTTAAATATTTTGTTACTCAATAAATAGTAGTGTTTTTTGTTTTATATTTTTTAACACTTTAATGTAAATGTCACATAATTTGAGCAGCTACTTAATTGGACCAAAATATGCTAGTCCCAATGTGTCCTGATTAACTAAAAAAATCTAAAAAACTGTAAACCTAGTAATTTTAGAAAGAAAAAAATTTTGAAGATGAATAGAATACTTAGTATCTTCAAAAAATTTAAAGCTTTTAAAATTAGATCATAAATATAGATATCATTACAACAGAAACTTAAATACTAAATATTAATAATTTTGAAAAAACTTTGGCAAAACTATTAATATTTTGTATTTTAATAACTGCACTGTCATATAACATTTATATGTATACCATCCCAGAATATGCAAGCTATGGCCAATCCAGCGTGACTTTAATGGTTAACATCGTAAATGATAACTAAGTACTACATTAAACTGGATATAATTAAGTTCAACGCACGTAACTTAACTGAACTGAATCAAAAATAATCTGTTGTCATTACTGATGTTAGTGTTTTTTCAGCCAATGACATTATATACAACAGTTTAAGATAGCCATTCCCAACTAGAAGTACACATACCCCTGAGACATATGCTTGTGGTTTAAGGATAAATGAAAAAATTAATAATGATGAACGTACTATAAGAATATTTGGATTTTGTGTTGAGGCCTTTGGTAATGTCATGGTACTCTATGCTTAGT